GCTGCTGAGGAAGGAATAAAAACTGGGAGGAGAGAAAACAAGAACAAGACACCATGGCACAAAGCACCTTGGGGATTTACTCCAGTTCTGGTGCACCTCTCCCTACCTCTGGTGGCCTGGCTACTTTCCTGTATTTCTTCAGAGATGGGGTGGGGTAACCCAAGAACTTCCGGTTCTTTGAGATGAACTGTAAGTCCAGCATGACCAAGGCTAAATGATCCAATCCTCTGATTCTTAGGTGTTGCTGGTAAAAATCTGCCTTCATTAAACAGCAGGTGTCAGGATGAGGAAAGCCTGTTTCAAAGCCACTTCGAGGCCCTTCACTTTAATCTACCCGTGGGCCAACAGCAAATCTCACACAGCCAAGATAATCTCATCATTTTCAAATCAAGATATTTAATAAGCACATGTAGATGGGGAGGGGTAAAATAGTGACTAAGACATAGTTCTCTGAAGGTGCTTAAAATTCAATTAGGGTTTTTGTATCTGAAAAAGTTAATGAACATTTAAAAATCTTTAGTTAACAGAGACAACAGAAAAGAGGTCACAGGGCAGCATGTGATTGTTTTTAAGAAATGCTCAGAAAAAAACCAAAGGTATGCCATGGTGCCTGGCCAGGTGGGCTGCTGCAGAGCTGGACACTGAAGAGCAAATGGGTCTGGGATTGGTGGGGAGGAGAAAACTTCTAGGAGGGGCTGCAGGCATAACCACCAGGCCAGCAAAGGGCTCCTCGAAGGAGGGCAGGTGCTGGGTGCTGTGGCTAGTGTGAGGACAGGGGGCAGGCTGGGCCAGGACGTGGGCAGAAGAAAAAGCCTTCCAGGCAGTGGGGGCCCCTGAACACTCCTTAGCCCTTAACTGGAGAAGAATGGGATGAAAGTGCAGGAACAGCCCCTACTCAGCACCAGCAAATCAGACACTGAGAGTCACCCTAGTCTTCCTGCAGCTCCACCCCACACACTTTTCACACAGCAGGGAAGAAGAACAGACTAGGTTCTCTGGAGATGGTGGGCTCCTTCTAAGACCTACTCCCTGCATGAAGCCCAAAGATGAGCAGTTACCTGTTGCCCATAGAAGCATCTCCTCTGAAACCTGCAGAAGCCACCTCTAACACCAGCCCCCAAAGGCGAGTCAGATGCCCCTGATAAAGGCTCTGCCAGCTGTTGTTCCTCCCTTGTCATGGCTCTCATAGACCTTTATCCACAAATGTCTGTGCTCCCAGTGGACTATAGGATCCATGAGGGCAGGGATACACTCAAAAAGTAAATGAATAAATAAACAGATGACGGAAGGAGGAAGGGAGGGAGAAAGAGGGGAGGTAGGAAGGGATGAATGAACAAATGACTAAACAACCAAGGGGCAGCTGCCTGCAGGGTCACTGCATTGCACAGCTGGCTCCAGGGGATGCTATTCAGATCATGTTCAACGTGAACAGCACCTCCGGCAGCACAATTGCTAGGGGCAGGGCAGGGAGGTAGCTGGTCAGAGGGAGAAGTTGGCCTGCTGGCCTCGGCCATGGAAAACAGACAGAGCTTTCTGTGTGCCCAATGAATCTTGCCATATCCACCGGAGGAGTCTCAGAGAAGGGGCGATCAGAAGAAGCCAGAGTGTAGGAGACACATCCCTGACCCTCCCTTCCCACCACACATACTGAGATGTGCTGAGTGAAGCCTCAAAGCCCACAGGATGCCATTAGAGCTTAGGAGGAAGACGTGTCCCACAGGCCCACTCTCCTTCCTCAGACACCTGCTCCTGCCTGTCTTCTCTGGATGTCATCAAATACCCCAGTTGGGACTGGTGTATGATATGCACATGTTCCCTAATCCATACAAAGGCATGCCCAGTAGGCCAAGAGAGCCATCTGGCACCAGCAGGGTTGCACAGCCTCCCTGCCACAAGGAAATCCCTCACCCTGGGTCCACAGCACCCTCCCCACATTCGCACCCTGTGCCAGGCTGACACAGTTGGGCAGCCTATATTCCACGGGCCAGGGGACAGTAGTCACTCTGCTGCTAGGAGGGAGTGGTCTCTCATCAGCAGGAGCTATTCTCTCTAGAGTGGTTCCTCAAGGGCTTCCCATTCAAACCAGTTACCTGGTATCTTTGAAGGCCTGATGCCCACCTGGGATTACCTGTCCCAGGATGTGCTCTTCACCCTGCTCCATCACGCCACTCCTCTTTGGAATCCAGCTGCCCTTGCCCACTGACCTAGACAGATGCCACCACTATGCCAGGCACTGGAAACAAGAGAAAGCCGCATCCCTACACTTCTTCTCCTGACCCCTCTTGGCTCGTACAGACAAGCCCAGAAGGGGCTCTGCTCCAGAAGGCTCTGCCGAGCTCAGCTGGCCCAAGTCCCCCATATACAAAAGGTAAGGGACCTCTGAGGTCATATAGGAAGAGAGAGCCAAGGTGGGAGTGAGGGCCAGACCTCAGGATGCTCCCTCTACCACACAGGCTGCAGCGGAGGCTGGTACAAAGGACCACCAGAAGCAAAAGTGCATGCAGGCAAGGTGGAAGAAGTGGCTCTGGTGACAATCCCCTATCCCACCAGGCTTAGAGATGCACAGGCCTCCTACCTAACTCTGGGACCTCATAAGCTTTGTAAATCCTAAGGTAAATAACCCAATAACCACATCACAAAGTGGAAAGAGGTTTTTCAAGGCCTTAGGGCTCCCTGCCAGTAGGGACCAGGGTGGCCAGGAGCCAGTCTCACTGATGGCAGTGCTCCTCTAATTTCCAAGGGCCCACAACCCTGCCCCTGACCAACTAGCCTAGCTTTCCTACCATACCAGGTCACCAGACCCAGCCATAAGCCTGGCCAGATAGCGGCAACCCTCACACCCTCTCAGGGAGGCTCCCCAATTCTTGGCTTCCCCAATTCAAGGTCATCTTATTTCCCAATGACATGCTAGTGAAAAACAGTGGACCGGGAACAGGAGGGGTGGACTGCAGCCCTGGAAGGGGACTCTGGTCAAGCCCTCCCCCGCGCCTGGAGCTCAGACTTCCCATCCCAATGAGGGGGTTGGTGGGGGGTCATTTCTCAGGTTTCAGCTCTCACTTCTGTGATTTTAGGAGCAAAGGGGGTTTGCAGGGTTCAGCAGGGACCTCAGCCCATCAGGGATTCTGAGGGAGCCCAGAGTTTTCGCTCAAACTCACCAGAGACCTTTTCCTTATCAAATCCCTAGCCCTTTCTGCAGCTTCTCTAGACATGGAATAAACAAATGTTTGTTGAGAACCTATGGGCGGTCCAGGCACTTTGGGAGGCACTAGGGAAACATGAAGGAATAAGAGAACAGTCATCAAGCAACCATTTTTCAGAGGCAGAAAGTGAGTCACAGAGAGGCCTCCAATTTTGCTGAAGGCAACAGAGCTAAAAAATTCAACTCCCAGCCTCCCTGATCTCTATAGGTTCTCTCCCAGGGTTCCAGGTCGGGTAAGACCAGCACTGGGTTGTGAAGACCACCAAAATCCCTTCCAGACACAGGGAAGAGTCAGCTCTGTAAAACTGGGATCTAATAATAACAGAAAATCAGAGTCTAGAATATAGGCTGGCTGGCTGAGTTGATCTTGTTCTAAAATGGTCAGCGTGGCCCCCCAAACCCATCCCCATGTTTGGGCCTGGCAACCACCTTCTATCCAGCTCAGGTGATGAGCATGAGCAAACAGGAGCCGGCCACGTGACCGCCATAACCCTCATGTACACACATCACAGTAGCACTATTCCTGGCCTACCGGATCCTCCCACAGTTGCCTTTCTCCAGGCCCTCCCTGTCAGACAGGCACCAACCCAGGTGAACAGGACTGGTCTGCAGAGCCAGAGCTGGGGGTCCTGCCCTCCTGGGATGCCTTCTCCCAGAGCAGAGCTGACCAGGGCCCAGCTTGTCTCTCTGCGGCCCCCTGTGAGAGGCCTCTGGAGGGATGCTCTGAAAGCCACTCTTTGCTACAGGTGGCAGAGGGGGCCCAGCTCTTCAATCTGGGTGTCAGAGATGTTTTCCTGGGGAGGCTGCTGGGTAGCAAAGAAGCTGTTCCTCTCCTCGTCCCCTGGCTCTGGCCAGCTGCCAGGGTGACCTCCCCTCCCCCAAGAAGGGCGATGAGCTGGGAGGTGGGGGTGGGAAGAATCCGCCCATGCTCTTAAGAAGGGTGCTGGGAAGCCAGGCAGGGCGTGTCGCCTGGGCCTTTCTCTGCCCAGAGCCAGGATTCACAGCCTCTTGGCGTAAGGTGCCCCTGTACCATCCCCCAAATAGCCTCGTATTAGGGTATCCCTCGCTGTCATCCCCCAGACCCCTAAACACCAAGAAGGCTAACACGTTCCGGCGAAGGACAGCGGGTCTAGAACCTTCTGTGCCCAGTCGGACGTAAGCCAGGGGAGGTAGGCGTCCTGATTCCCCACAGCCTGCACCGCTCTTTCTGCACTGCTCCTTCGAGAAGAGACAGGTTGTGGGTCTTTTACCCCCGGCGGCCGTCTGTTCCAGGGCCTGGATGTGCCCTTTCGCATGGTTCCTGGCAGGGTCCGCAGGGAACCCCTCCAGTGCAGCGGGGTGGGGGGAGGCTAGACCCCAGCCCCACCTCGTTCTTCCAAGAGGGGCGCCCGTGGTTCCCCCACCCCCGCCTGCACCCAGCCACCTGAGCGGTCGCCCGCAGCCGGTGCCGCAGTGCGAGCTAGCCAGCGAGCCCGGCGCCTTCACGCCTCAGCCGGCGCCGCGGAGCGAGCCGCCGCCCTCCGGCCTCCCTGCCGCGCCGCACCTGCACCCGCACCGCAGCCCCCCACCCGATCCCACCCTCACCCCCACTCCTGGCGCCCGCGCCTCCACCTTCCTTACCCTTGGCCCCTCCCCAGCCCGGCTCCGCCCGAGCCTGCCCCGACCTCCTCATCCCCATCCCTCTCCTCCACCCGACACGGAGGCGCCCTTCCGAGCCAGGGCCGGGGGTCCCAATGGGGTGGGTGATTGGGCGGCGGGGGTTGACTCGGCGCAAAGCCAAGAGAATAAGCCAGGTACTTACCGCTCTGCTCCCCCAGGAACACCAACTTGAATTTTCTCAGTGGATTCCCAAAATCTCCCCCTGCGGACATGGTGCTGGCAGCCGGGGCCGGAGAGAAGGAGGAGGAAGAAGCGAAGGAGCAGGGAGGGAGAGGAGGAGGGCGAGGGGAGGCGGCCGGCGGTGCGGGAGCCGGAGGGGGAAGGGCTGGCTGGCTGCGCGCGTCCCTGACTCCCCAGCTGCGTCCCGGCCCCGGCCTGCGGCTGCGTGTCCAGCAGCAGCGGAGGAGGAGGAGGAGGAGGCGGAGGAAGGTTGGGGCTGGGCTGCCGCGGGCGGCGCCGGCTGCGGTGCGAGGGGCGCGCTCTGGACGCCCGAGGCGCGGCGCTGGCAGCGAGGCGCTGGCGGAGCGGGGCGCAGGGACCGCGCGCGGGGCGGAGGAGCGCTCTCCAGAGCCGCGCCAGTCGGCCCCCTCCCGCCTCCGTCCTCCGCCGGCGCCTGCGCTCTGCGCGCTCCCCAGCCTCTGATGTCATGCGGGGCCCGCGGTGCTGCGGGGCTGGGGGGCGTCCGCCCGCCCACCCCGAGCCCACGCCGGGGCAGGAGAGAACCGCCGCGCTGTGCTTCTGAGAGCCTCCGGGATCGGACCGTCTCTCGCTACCCCGCTATGTCTCTCCTCCCCACTATACCTCTGTTTTGAACCCAGAAAAATGACGCGAAATTGTCAGGGGACATTTATTTCTGGTCTTTTAAACCTAGATGCCCAGTCCTTTCCTCCACCTCCACCTTTTCTCCACCGATGCAAAGTGCAGTAGTCCGACGGGGCGGAAAGAGAGGAAGGAGGTAGGGGGAGAGCCAGGGTGTGGTGAGGCGTCTCGAGTGGGCAGACTTGCGCATACCTGGCGCGCCTGGCTCAAATGGGGCTCGACTGTCGCCCGGTGTGGTCTCTAGCCAACCGTCTCGTCCTAGGCCCAGACCCTTTATCCAGGCAGCTTCTCTGGGGTCCGTGGGTGCCCCCGCAGAGCTGACCAGCAAGAGGAGCTGCCAATGTAGGACGTGCCTACCTCAGACAAACTGCTCTTACTGATCATTTAATACTAAATCCTAACGTGCCCCATGGGAGAGAAGGAGCAGTGACGCCCTGAATGCCAGTGCGGCTGTCTCCAGGACCGTGCCCTGCGTTTTTTGATCCTGGGGTCGGTAGGCTGTCAATGCCACTCCTTGCCCTGGCAATTATGTGCATCTGGACAATGAACTCCCAGAAGACACTCTGGAGACCTCCCATTCGCCTCTGTATAGCCTGGCCCATTGAGGCACGTGGAATAAATTGTTTGTGGGTGAGAGCAAAGAGCAAATGCCAAGCACGAGGAACTCTCCCAGGAGAGCCTGACGCTAAGGTATCCTGGTTAATCAAGGTTTCACAAAGCTGCCTCTTTCAGTCCTGCCACCACGTGATCTGGTTCATTTAGGGCTGTTCAGTGAACATTTATTTGGGATTATAATCCTCATGTCTGTGAACACACTGTTACAGAGACAGGAGTGAGACACAACTTTCATCTCCAGGTTTCCAGGGGACACTTTTTACCCTCTTTTGACTTGCAGGGCTTGCTTAGGCTGTCTCCCTGCCTGTCTCCCTGGTGTACTCACCTAGAGTCTCTCTTCCATCGCTTGTGAAGAACCTGACCACAAGTTCCATGAAAGCAATAGTTGAGTCTCCACTACTGGATACCAAGGACCTAGCTCAGAGCTTAAGAAATAGTTGTTGAATATTTGAATGAACATCTGGAACCCAAATCAAAATAAGTATTCTGTTCTCAAGGTCACCTTTGGTTCAGAACTCCAGAAGTTGTAGATCATCTCCCTGGCACATCTGCCCCCCTGTGCCTGGCATCAGGCTCAGGGTAACCCTCCAGACACCCACTCTCTTCTGCTCTGGGGTTCTTGCTCTCTCAAGAGACCACATCCAGCATGGAGCTGAAGGAAGCTCTGGAAGGAGAGGAAACTCCCAAGTCACAGTCCTTCCTGCCTCTGTGAGTGGTCCTTCCACAGGAGGGTCAGGGAGCTACTGGTCAAGGCACCTAGCCAGGCGTCAACACTCCTCCAACCTGTACCTTCTCCTAACATCTGGTGCTGTCTTCCCAGATCCTCTCATCCTGAGGAAATCATCCATGGCAAAACAAAGCAGCTGAGGTGTAACAGAAAAGGCACCATCTTTTAGGTAAGCCTAGGTGAGTCCTGTATCTCCCCTAATCATCTTGTCCTTCACACACAAAGTGGTATGGCCGTGGAGGTGGGAGGGCTGGGGCCTGGGACCCTCTGGACGCCTTTTCTAAGTCAGCCCACTGTGCTTACCAGACCTATCTGGACTGCCTATGGGCTAGGATACCCAGAGGGGCTCTGTCAGGATTCTTCCAGTCCAAATGACAAAAACCCAACTCCAACCACTGGGCTGGCTCATTGTAGCTGGAGCAGGTACTGGTGTTGCTTTCACAATGAGGTCATCAGGCTGTGGGAATGAGAGCCTCAGAAACTCCAAGTCTCTCTCCTTCTCCATCTGTTACTGCTTGTCTCCCCTTATTTGGGGTCTTGTCCTTAACCTGCCCTGGAGCAGACAGGCTTTCTCCAGGTGGTAGAAAATGTGACCACTGTGAACCTCAGTTTGGCAACCCCACTAGAAGAGTTTTTTCCACACTGCATCTTTGTGTTCCCTTTTTAAAAATTCTGTAGAGCTTCCTATTGAGTGTGTGCTATGTATATATATGTTAGTCATAAAGGAAACCTATTGCTGTGAATGCCCATTTACCCTCCACCCGGCTGGAGAAATCAAATACTACGAGTATACTTTCCTCCCTCCCCAACTTGGAAATCCAGAATCTTGGCATTTCTTTGAGTCTTATCTCATTTGGATGTGCCTTTCAACAATGTTTTGTTTTGCACCTTTTGAATCTTATATAAGGTATCAAACTGTATATTCCGTCCTATGACTTGCGTTTTTCTTAACATTATGTTCCTGAGATCCATATGTTGATTCACATAGCAGCAGTTCTTTCATTTTCACTTCTGTTTAGTATTCCACTGTACGCCCCAATTTTTAAATGGTTTTCAGTAAAATTTGTCCAGTTAAATTTTTCTTTAATTTTAGATAACTTTAGACTTGTATACAGGTTGCTGGAAATAATACAGGGAATTTCTTTGTATTCTTCAGCCAGCTTGCCCCAGTGATAACATCTTACATAACCTTATTGATTAGCAAAACCAGGAAATTAACATTGGAAAATGCACCCAGTTTTCTTTCTGCTATTATAAACGATGCTGCTGTGAACATTTCTTTATGTGTCTCCTGATGCACCTGTGAAGTTTTTCTAAGATATGTTTCAAGTAGATGAATCATGGGATAAAAGCAAGTGTATGTTTAATTTTATGCCAAACTATTTCTCAAAGGTAGTTGTTAGGTCATAGAGTTCTACATTACCACCTTTATTTTTCATTTTCTTCAAGAAGGTCTTGACTATTCTCAGCCCTTTGTTATTATGTACACATTTTAAAATTAAACTTTTTATTTTGAGATTATTGTAGATTAACAAGCAGTCAGGAGAAATAAAACAGATCCTTTGTATCCTTTATCTAGTTTCTCTCACTGGTAACATCTTGCAAAACTACATATCACAGGATACAGGATATAGGATATCACAACCTGGATATTGACATTAAGACAACCAAGGTACAGAACATTTCCATTACAGCAAGGATCGGTCTTGTTCCCCTTTTAGAGCCACACCCACGTCCCTCCCACCCTCACCCCCTTCCTAACCTCTGGCAACCACTAATCTGTTCTTCATTTCAATAAATCTGTCACTTGAAGAATCTTATGTAAAAAAGTGGAATTTCACAGTACGAAACCTCTTGGGATTGGCTTTTTTCACTGAGCATAATTCTCTGGAGAGTCACCAGGTTACTGTTTAGACTGATAATTAGCTTTCTTTTACTGCTGAGTAGTATTCCACAGTACAAGTCTACAACAGTTTGCTTAACCATTCACCTGTTGAAAGGCATGTGGGTTGTTTCCGGTTTGGGGCCATTACAAATAAAGCTGTTATGAACATTCACGTACAGATTTGATGTAAACATAAGTTTTTATTTCTCTAGGAGAAATGCCCAGGAGTGCAACTGCTGGGTCATATGCATGCTTGTTTGTTTAAGGAACTACCACCAAGCTTTGCACTCCCACCAGGAATGTATTACATGAGTGATCCAGTTTCTTTCCATCCTCACCAGCATTTGGTGTTGTCAGTGTTTATTTTTTAAGCCATTCTGAGAGATATTTAGTGACATTTCATTGCAGTTTTAATTTGCATTTCCCTAATGGCTAATGATGTTGAACATCTTTTCATGTGCTTATTTGCCATCTGTATATCCTCTTGGTGACATGTTTGTTCATGTGTTTGGTCCATTTAATTAGATTGTTTACTGTTGAATTTTGAGAGTTCTCTATATATTGTAGATACTAGTCCATTGTCAGATATGATGCTTGCAAATATTTTCTCCCTCTTTGCAGCATGTCTTTTCATCCTCTTAACAAGGTCTTTTGAAAAGTAAAAGTTTTTAATTTTGATGAAGTCCAATGTACTGATTTTTTCTTGTATGAATTATGCTTTTTAGTGTCATGCCTAAGAACTCTTTACTAAGCCCTAACTCCCAGAGATTTTCTCCTATGTTTTTTGAAAAGTTGTTAAAAAAAATTTTGTGTTTTACGTTTACCTTCATAGCCCATTCTGAGTTAAATTTGTATAAGGTGTAAGACCTGGCTAGAGGTTTTGGGTTTTGTTTTTGTTGTTGTTGTTGCCTATGGATGTCCAGTTACTTCAGCACCACTTGTTGAAAAGGCTGTATTTTCTCTATTGAATTGCTCTTGTGCCTTTGTCAAAAATCTGTTGAGCCTTGTTCCTGGGGTGGTGGTGGGAGTCCAGCCCCCTTGCATGGTCTCTGCTGACACTGCAGGTGGGAGGCCTTGGTATTGCCCATTGGAGGTGAAAGTCCTGGCTCCCATCTTGGCCTTCTCTGACACCCCCATCCTAGCTAAAGGGTTGGGGCAGCTTGATACAGCCTGGCAATGGTGGAAATCTATACCCACCACTCGGACTTTGCTGGCATTAAGTAGATGTGGGGTGGGGACACACAGCACAGTTTTTACAGTGATGTTTGGCTGGAGTAGAAGTTATTGACTAAACATTTTCTGTTTTGTTAGGTTGTACTTTTCCTGTTCCTCTGACTAGAGAGATTAAGCTTTCATTGGGGGTTTATTTTTGTTTGTGCTTTTTGTTGTTTCTGGGTTGCCAACTTCTTCAGCTCAAAGTCCCAGTTATATAAGGTAAAAAGAAAACCCAAGGAGCTCATCACTGTTTCATTACTTAGGTCCTGAGGTCCCTACCTGGTCTGCCTT